TTAGGCGATTCTCTTGCCTCAGCCTCCTGAGTAGCTGGGACTATAGGCACTCACCACAATGCCTGGCTATTTATTTGTTGCAGTTTGGCCGGGGCCAGGTTCAAACCCACCACCCTTGGTATATGGGGCCGGTGCCTTACCCACTGAGCCACAGGCGCTGACCGGAATGGGACTTTTATGGTGTCTGAGATTTTTTTTCTTGTAGAGACAGAGTCTCACTTTATCGCCCTCTGTAGAGTGCTGTGGTGTCACACAGCTCACAGCAACCTCCAACTCCTGGGCTTAAGCAATTCTTTTGCCTCAGCCTCCTGAGTAGCTGGGACTACAGGCACCTGTCTATTTTTTGTTGACAGCCTGGCTATTTTTTGTTGTTGTTGCACTTTGTCCAGGGCTGGGTTTGAACCCGCCACTCTCGATATATGGGGCCAGTGCCCTACTCACTGAGCCATAGGCACCGCCCACACCTGGCTATTTTTTTGTTGTTGTTGCAGTTTGGCCGGGGCTGGGTGTGAACCTGCAACCCTCAGTATATAGGGCTGGCGCTCTACCCAGTGAGCCACAGGTGCCACCCTGGTGTCTGAGATTTTTAAAGTATCTGAATCAACTGGCAAAATGTTATCATTTGTTACATATATGCAGTGAATAGCATGTGGTTTCTGTTATTCTCTGTAATTTATGATTGAGCAATGTCATAATTTGAATATGAAAAAATAAACCAAATTACAGTAATTGGTATAGTATTTTGTATACAAAATGTTTTCTGTACCTACATATTTGTATATACTTGGAAAACAGCTGATAGGATGTCCACTAAACCGAAAGTATTAGAATGGGGAAGTAATGAGCAGACGTGAGAGAAAAAGTACATTTTATTTTGTTCTCTCTATCCTTTGGTGGTGTTGGAGATCAGCAATCTACGACTGGTGTGGCAGCTCATGGCATACTAGCCACAATCCAAGCTCCTTGCATCTTTCCACTTATACCACCTTGCCTAAAAATGGCCCTGGTACTCAGGTTTCATGTCTGCACTCCAAGCAAGATGAAGAGATAAGGGCAAAGGCTCATGCTTCTGTCCTATTGCATCTTTGATAAGAGACAGAGGTGAAAAGTGTTAATGAGCAAAGAGAAGCCACGTGGCTCAGCAGTGGCCTGAGTAAGCTGAGGAATGACAGAGTAGACAAAGCAGGGCCCTAGATACCAGTAACTGCAATCTGGATCCTGTGAAGATAGAAATGAACCTCACTGGAGTCAGGGCTTTCCTTTTTGCCTGTCACTCTTTCCCCACCCCTCTCATTTCTTTTTATGTTTGGCTGCCTCCTCCAAAACCTGGTTCTGACCATCCTCAAGTGGCCTCCAGGAGGGGGTCAAGCTGTGGTCCCTCTGAGGGGAGGCACTCCCTGGAAACATCTCAGGGCCCCTGGAAAACCTAAAGCCCTCAGGAGACTGGCTGAAGATCACTCCTAAATTCATCTGTAAGTCTACCTCTGGAGGTAAGCCACTTTAACATCTGTTTTTAATTAGTATCTATAGACGGTTAGTATAACTATTAATAGTAAAACACCATTTAAATGAAAGCTGGGGTCTAATTATCATCTGGGGTATTAGATCACCAACAGGACTATTAAAAAGTATTAATTTGCCTCCTGTAACTAAGTAACAGTTCAAGTGAGAAATCAAGGCTGCCCAGAGTAAAACAAAAAAAATAAGTTGGAATGTGTGCATGTGAGTGCTTGGAGACCGACTGAGATGAATAACAATAGAAACTGAGTGAAATTTTGTTGGACTGTGGGACATTCAGAGGGAGTGGAGAGTGCTAGAGGTATTGGCAGAGGGGCCATGCCTGGGAAAGTGTTACAGTTCGGGCAGTCCCGTAAACTATGGATGGCCTTTGAAAATCTGGGAGAGAAAGTGTAAATCTTGTGCCAAGCAGGGCTATACTCATATCCGCGGTAGGTCTCCAAGGTAAACAGCCACTGGTAGGGGGGAGAAGGCCCAAGTCAGTGGTCTCCTGCATGGGTTCTTTGTCTAGAAGTAAATAATTAACCCTGAAAAATATTTTAGCCAGGACTTAATAAATGAAAAAAATACCTTTACAAACTAAATAAATGTTCTAATAAATGAATAAATGCAAGCCCTGCACTTTGAGCAAGGCTATTTTTATTTTTTTTTTGAGACAGAGTCTCAAGCTGTCCCCCTGGGTAGAGTGCCGTGGCATCACAGCTCACATCAACCTCCAACTCCTGGGCTCAAGTGAGTCTCCTGCCTCCCCCTCCCAAGTAGCTGGGACCACAGGCGCCCGCCACAATGCCTGGCTATTTTTTAGTTGCAGCCATCATTATTGTTTGGCGGGCCCAGGCCGGATTTGAACCTGCCAGCTCAGGTGTATGTGGCTGGTGTTTTTGCCACTTTAGCCACAGGCGCCAAGCCAAGCAAGGCTATTATGTCTTTGTTGGGGTTAGAGTGTGTACTCCCTACTCAGGGTGAAGCCATCCAAAAGGTTTAGAACTGCTTTATTCCTCAGAAAGTATGGCCTGCAACATGTTTGTGCCTAAAGATAAAAACCTGATCCTGAAAAAGCTTACCTGAACCTGAAAAACAGGAATTCCCTGTCTAGAACTGAGTGAGAAAAATCCTGTATCAATACTGTATTTCATAAAATATCTCTCATTTGTAAAATGTAATAATTTAGCTGTTTAAATTATTAAAAAAAATTGAGTCTTTATCAAAGAGTAACATTCTTGCATGTTAAACCTTCTAATTATCAGTTTGGCAGAGTAGAAAGAAAAATGGCATGTGTAAAGAAAAGAATCTTGTGTGATAAATTTTACCTTGAAACAAAATAGTTATTTAAAATGAAAGGCAGGGCAATAATTAAGGAAACGTTAGAATGTTTGTAGATTATTTGTGCAGGTTTAATGAAACTCATAAAAGGAAATTTGTAAAGAAGTTTACATGTAATCTAGTTGACTATGTATTTCCTTTAAACATTTTTGGCTTGTAATCTTATTTGAACAAATGTTTTAAATCTTTGATATTTGACAAAACTTCCAAAATCAAAACTCTATAAATTTGGGACTCAGTGCCTGTAGCACGGTCATTACAGTGCCAGCCACATGCACCAAGACTGATAGGTTCAAGCCCAGCCTGGGCCACCTAAACAACAAAAAAACCCACAACTCTAAATTTGGTCTTTTTGAAATATTAAGACCATTGAAAACCTGAGAAAAACAAATCAAACTTATTTATTAAAAATATATAGGAAACATTGTTAAATATAAAATGGTAATTAATTTTGTACGAGTTATGTGTATGTTCCAATATTATAAGACATTAGTGTAGCCTAAAATATAACATATTGGTCTGTCTTAATGTATATTATCAATAATAATTTTAATTCATCAAAAAAATATTAAGAGAGACTGACAAATTCTTTCAAATTTAAATTCCTGTTGTCTTTGGAAATTGAGTACCTTTAAACTAAAAGCAGACTTTTAAAACTTTGATTGAAAAGCTAACATGTCTGGCTCGGCACCTGTGGCTCAAGTGGCTAAGGCGCCAGCCACATACACCTAAGGTGGCGGGTTCAAATCCAGCCTGGG